GCCGACACCTGACCCCTGGGACCCCCGCCGGGGCCCCGGGCCCGGGGGTTGACAACCCTGATCTGTACGTTTCGTACGGAAAGACCCGGTACATGTACGTTCGGTTACAAAAAAGAGACCTAAAAGGTGTTGACAACCCTGATCTGTACGTTTCGTACGGAAAGACCGGCATTCCGCCATGGACTTCGCTTCCAAAATAAGACGAGGAACCAAAGATCAAGGCGCGCAAGCCTTCTGCTCTCTGACCATGGCCCCATACCATGCAAATGATGCAACCATCATACACACACACACCTTTACCCAGATACTAGTGATCCTGACCGGCACGTACTGATCTCACACCATAGCAATCGTCACCTCGCCGACTCGACTCCTACACCGACTTGCCCAGATCCCGCAGTTTGTCGCGGCCACCTGATCCACAGTCTTGCAAACCTACAGTCAGCTCATCATGACTTTCGACTTGCCGATCATGACATCATCTAGCCACTGCTTCCCTGAAGCTGGCATGTGGGTTGAGAGAGTCTCAGAGTTTTGAGATGCGCTTGTGGATTTTATAGTTGCGTAGGGCTAGACAAGAGATGAGAGAGAGAGGAGGGTTGGTAGAGGAGACAAGGGTTAATCGCCTTGGGAAGGCCATATTGATCCGCGTGAGTTCTTCACCGCCAATCAAATTACAGTGTGAGGGAATTGATCCTCCTAACACGATCATGCTGTCTGATGGTTCGAAGTCTTTAGGGGGGGATCGATAGGGACTTCTTGTATGGAGGGGGTGAAGGTGGGAAGGAGGAGGGTGCGAAGAGCAGTGCAGAGCGGGACCAAGATTCAGACGGAGGCGGAAGAGAAGCACGAAGGGGAAGGGGGTGGAATATAGTTACAGGTTAGGACGATTAGGGAAAGAAGGCACGGAGAAGAGAGAGGTAAGTCAGGGTGAGATGTAGCGAGAAGCGGGAGAAAATTTTATATAGGGTGCCGATGCAGAAACAAAAAGGCACAGAAACAGTTGTGTTTCGTCCATCCTTATCCTAAAACTAATTCGAGATTGAAAAATTCAAAAGCAATGTCTGTGCATGGTCATAAACGCGCAAAAATCCTACGCCAATTCAGTTTCTGACTTAAAATTCACAGAGGTTTCAAGGGTGAATTTGGAAGCATTCACTTGCAAGAACGGACACGTCATCAGCAGAGGGTGCGGCCATAAATTCCAGATTTTCCAACTGCCGAACAAAATTCCTAATGCGCTCGCTTAGGTGCGCTTGAATTCCTACGTAAATTCATGGTCGAAAAGAAATTCTAAAAATGTTCGAAAAAAACAACAAATCTAAACGTTGGGAGGGCCTCGACGGCCGTTGATTCCATGTATTACCCAACAGCCAAAAAGAAGGCAACCCCAAAGCCCATTAGAGATAAAAAAAAAATACATAGCAAAATTCACGGTCTCTTAAGTACGTTCAGGTGTAGGACCTGGCACATCACGCATATCGCCCCTTCCTTCTGTGGCCAATCTAGGATTACCAACTCTCGTCCGCCAATTGTGACTAAAAAGCATTTTCAAACTGAAACTACAGCAGCGCCCTAGTTTTCCCAAGAAAAGAAAGAAAGAAAGAAAACTAAAATAAAAAATGAAAAAAATGCAAGAATTTTTAGAAAAGGGACAATATGGTTAAGGCATAGTCTTACCCCATCAGTAACAGTGGAATGTCGAGGTTCCAAGGGTTCAGTTGTCCACATATCAAAGTAGTAAACTCATTGCTGGGTCATACGAGTAACCTTTGACCCTGGGTAGCACCACGAACAGGTATGCGGGCTCCGTGTTCACGCACACATATGTGTATCTGTGGGTATGTATTGCGTACGTGTGCGTGCACACCTATTTTCAGTACCTGCATGTGTGGTCACAACGGGCCGTTTTTGGGTCTGTTTTGGACGGGTAGGGCTCGGTAGGGGTTGGGGGCTATGAATCCCCCGTAGCCGTGGACCTTGCGGCCGCCGTAGTGGTCAGTCGAGGAGGGGTGTGGTGGCGGGGAGAAGGGGGGGGGGAGTGTTGTTGGTGAAAATAAATTTTCAGAAGAAAAAAAAAAATCTTGATTGATTGATTGGCCTTTCGTTGATTGACTGATTGATTGATTGATGGATCAGGATGGGTAGGTTAATTGATTGATTATTGATTGATTGATTGATTGGTGGGGGAGGGGTCCCCCCTCGCCCCCTACACACGTAGGTTTTTTTTTTCACTTTTTTATTTTTAGATTTGATTGATTGATTGGTGGGAGAGGGCTCGCCCACCCCCCCTCCCCCCCC